CATATGTTGCAAGTGTTTTATCTAAATATTGTGTATGTTTTGCTATGGGTTTCAAGTGTTTTTTAGGTGTGTTTTTTTCAAGTGTTTCGCCTTTCTTCTTTTATATGTTGCAAGTGATGCATCTAGATGTTTCAAAAGTAGATCCGGTGTTACACATGTTGTTATGGCTATACACGCATGCTTCAGGCGCAAGTTTCAAGTGTTTTTATCTGTTTCAGATGTATGTTGCAAGTGTTTTATTTGGATGTTTTAAAAGAAGATCTTAGGAAAACACATGCTATTGCTGCTAGTACGCCGCCGTAGGTCACCGAGCCGCCGTGGGTCACCGCACACGCGGGGTGGTGGTGGTGCGTGCATGTGGGCGTGTGAAACGGAGCTAGCTCGGGGCGCTCCCCTCGCATGCGTGGGCCTACGCAGCCTATGGAGTGGGATGGGTGCATCAGGCGTGGGTTCGGGAGCACCATTAGCATCCTAGATCGGACGTCCGTGCATTAGTAAGTCCTTTTGTCATGCACGATTGTTGTTGGTTTGGCCGGTCCCTTCTATGTGTAAGTCCAAAAGCTCCGCCACTGCTTGCAGGAACATTACGTTGGAAAAGAACGAAGCCCTTCTAAGTTGATCCATAACAGTTTAGAATGGATTCCGCGGCACTAGTTGACAACTGACTGACCCTGCTGCTCACCCGGACTACCAAACCACAGAGATACGTACAAAGCCGCGCTGGCAAAAGCCAAGAACAAAGACGAGTTGGAGAAAGGTCGTCGCATCTGGTCAACGTTCAAACCTCGCTACGCTGGCGTTCTAATTAACTCGCCTCATCGGCGACTGACGCAGGAATGCAAATCCAACGACACGCGCATGCACCTCCATCCCGCGCTAAAACTATCTTTATTGCGGCCACATGCCTGATATTCACATTCCCCCGTTTGCTTTGACCATCCCACCAGGCACCGTGCTTGCTTGCGCACCCGGCACCCTACTATATAACCCCGCGCCCACCTGTTCCTCTCCTCATCGACAGCCTCCGCCGCACGTTCACACACACACACACAACTCGCAGCATCCAGCAGCTCCCATCGAGCTCAGCTCACTCCACTCTCTAGCTGCCTAGCTCGCTTCGCCGTCTGTCAACCGATCGACCGACATGGACGCGCTGTGGAAGCAGGGTTCGTCGTGTGACTGGCCGGCGGCGGCGACGGTGATCATCAACGACGACGACGCGGCGGCGGAAGAGCTGCTGCGGCGGGGGCCGTGGACGGTGGACGAGGACGCGCTCCTGGCAGGCTACGTGGCCGCGCACGGCGAGGGCCGGTGGAACGATCTGGCGCGCGCCGCGGGGCTCCGGCGCACGGGCAAGAGCTGCCGCCTCCGCTGGCTCAACTACCTCCGCCCCGGCGTGCGCCACGGGGACTTCACCCCGCGGGAGCAGCTGCTCATCCTCGACCTCCACTCCCGCTGGGGCAACCGCTGGTCCAAGATCGCGGCGCACCTGCCGGGCCGCACCGATAACGAGGTCAAGAACTACTGGCGGACGCGGGTGCAGAAGCACGCCAAGCAGCTGGGATGCGACGTCGGCAGCCACCGGTTCCACGACGCCATGATGAACCTCTGGATGCCGCGCCTGCTCGAGAGGATCCACGCCGACGAGACAGCCGCCGCCGCCGCCGCGACAGCTGCCCATAACGTCTCTCGCTACTACTCGGCCGCGAGCCCGTCGCACGAGCTGTTGTCGTCGTCCCAACCGGCGTACGGAAACGCTGCGCCCATGGGCAACTGCGCGCGCGCACCGTCCCCGGACGCGTCGAGTGTCACCGGATCGTCGTGGTCACGGGAGGCGTCGCCACCGTCGCAGTTTCAATCGAGCAGCTGCTCGACCATGGCTGGATGCTCTACTTCTACCGAGCAATGCCAGAACAACGGATGCTCCAGCGCCACGAGCGTTGACATGTTCGACGAGAGCTGGTCGGAGCTTCTTGCTCGCGCCAACCATGACGACACGGAATTTGGATTGGGACAAACCGGAGACAACTGGTGGAGTTTGGAGGATATCTGGGAACAACCGCTTTACTGATCAATCCATACTGGCTGTAGTGCTACGTACTGCTATATGTTGCTGCCTGAGACTAATGACCGAATTATTTCTAGTGTTATTATCTGATTGATCAGAGAAGATAACAAATAAACATGATTTAATTGAATGATTTGCTCTAAACCTTTTTTTCCTTATTCGGATTCGGAAAATACTTGGCGAGTCTCCTCCTGCTACTACTGTGTGATCTTTGGACGTCGTTTATTCTAAGCAGAGTTTCCCATTGCGAATAGTAGGCTAAGACATCTAGGGGAGCCTTCGAGAGTATGCTAAGCTATAACAGCGTTAAGACATTTAGCGTTTTCTCAACAAAAAAAAACATGCATATAATCGTTTGTTGTTCGCTGACTTGCATCTATTTCTGTTGCCGGCTGTTATATTCTCTCTTCGTGCCAATGCTCGACTACGTGTACTACGGTTGCCAGTATAGTTGTTGTCCATAGGCGTAGGGGACGACCACAACCGCAGCCTCTCCGCTCACTGCACATAGCCTTGACTAGTAGCCGGCTCAAGCAATCACTTTCGACACCTCATAGTCGTCGTTCTTAATTCATGGCCATCATTTTCTTTTTTTTTTCCTCGAATATGCAAAAGGTTTGCGTATCATTATATTAAAATCGAGAAAGGTGGTTTTTTTTACATCGACGTGCCTCTTTGGCGCGCTAGGCTGGGCAAAGGTTTTACAATAAGCACATCCCCGCTTAGCAAACTACTACGTACATGGTGACTACTCACGCAAAAGACATGGTGCCATCATTTCCTCAACGCACACCATCACCACGTCACCGCGAAAGGTTCAGAACTTAGAGCGAGGCCATACAGAACACATAGGGGAGAACTAGAGATGCTAGACTAGATTTGGTTCGTTTGGACCCATGAAAATTTTGCTGGGTCTCATTTCTTGGTAGGTCGGCTGGCTACATATTTAACATCGCTAAATTATGTCACCACTATAGCGTATAGCACCACTAATGCCTGAAATTGCGGCAATAGCTATAAGCCTATAATATATGCAATATCTTACCAGTACATTGTTCAAAACGCTATAGCAGTGTTATAGCCCGCTATTTGCAACACTCTTTCGCCCAGTAATGTAAAACCAGCAAAGAAACATATATGTTGTTTTTCCATGAATTTTTTTTGAAGACACAAAGTATAAGAACTTAAAAAGACAAGGTACATACATATACCTATGTAACATTCCACACCAATACACCATAATACCTTGATTAAAAATGTGGCTTTTTGAGAAAAAAAAAGCATTTTAGTGCTTGGTAATGTGTTCAAATAGTAAGTAGCAATGAAATCAAACCCTAGTAAACTCTCACTTAGGATAGGTTAAATATTTCAACTGATGCATTCCATGTTTCAATTGTACATGCACATGTGTGTTTGAGCTAGCTCTTAAGTTCTTTGCTTGCGTGGAAATTCAAATGAATTTCAATCAAGTTTAAAATTCTATTTTTAAATCCTAGAGAATGAAGTAAAACAGAAAAGAGAAGTGAAAGGGAGAAACAACCGACGGGTTGAAACCCATGACTAACCCACTCCTTCTCTCCTTGCATTTGCACTACTTGGCCTAGCAAGCAGAACCCCCCTGTCTCTACCAACATCTGATATTCTAAGAACCCGCTTCTCTATCCCACTGCATGGTGGCACCATATGCACACACATCAAGGCGCAAACCTAGATGCGTCATCCCGCACCGCACCTTGCCTCCACCTCTAATTCCCCAACACCCTCCTCAACATCAATGCTTACGGACGACCAATGCCTTGGGCATGACTGCCAATGCATCATCACCGATAGAAGCTTGTGGCGGTGGAAATGATGGTGTCGTGGGCATGAGGGGCAACAAGGACTTCTTCTCCACCGAAGCCGTTGCCGAGTTATCAGCCATGATTCTAGGGCGGGCAACACTAAAACGATATGGAGGCCAAGCTCTGGGACTGGGGAGGGGATCCGAGCTGAGAACGGGATTGACACCATAGGCTGCTACATGGGGACTCAGTATCGGGGCTCAAGGAGTGAGTCCGGCAAGTGATCGTGAAGGCCTTAGCGTGGTGTGATGTCGCACAAGGCAACGAGGCCATCGCCGCTGTGCTCCATGCCATGCTTCACGAGCTCCTCCACGCTGTCGCTGATGGCTTCTGCGACTCCAACCACAACCAGGAGTAGGTGTTGTTGCTGCCATGTCTGCACCTTTGCCTATGCAAGGCTTGCAAGTTGCGGACGCACGCCTTCCCTATTTGTCCTTTGCAGTTCGTTTCTGTGCTCCGGTGCTCCTTCCCACTTTGTGTCTTCACAATGTGATTTGTTCAATTTTTAACTTCCAAATGTCCTAGCCAAAATTAACCTTTTGATTTGGAATTTCTCCGAGGTCCGTTTTAGTTTCAAGCTCCAAGTTGATGCTAAAGTATCTTGCGCTCTCTCTATATGTTTGCGGTGACAAATTCAGAATATTTGCACGCATTTCAGTCTATACTCAAACAACCTTTTTCCACGAGTATAAAAATCATTTGCATTCCAAGGGTTTCCTTGTGCTCAACAAATTACAGGTGAATTGCATTTACAGGTGCGCATAAAATTTCAGAGCGTCTAACCCAGACCTTAGCCTTTTTTTTTGTTTGATGAAAACTTAATTTAGCTGTTAAATAAACGAAATGGTAAATTTGGTAAATCCAGTCTTAGTAGGCCTAGTAGGACTACTACTCAGCACAAAGGTGTAGGTAGCGAATTTTGTCGCTCCGCTATTAAATTTAATTCCATCAATAACTTCAAATACAATGGGCTTGAATAGTTTACAGTTGTGTACGGGGTAATTGTTGTGCAAAGAACAGCAACGCGTGCGGATTCATCCCCGTGATCAAGTTTGTGATTTCTGCTACTTGGACCTACTTGAAGCGGCACGATGGCGGCGAGGCGGATGACATGGCAGGGCCCAGCTGCTGATACGGGGTCAAACAGTCAAAGGCGGTCGCCAGTCTGGGGTCAGCTGGTCAAACACTGGTCTCCAGCCGTCAAAGGGTTGCGGCGGGGTCGACGTGCAGACCAGATGCACTCTGGCCGGCCCCGCGTGCTCGATGCTCGCCCGTCTCTTACTCTAATCACTTGTGTTATTAATCCTTTCTGCTCTACTATAGGCCCGGACCACCGAAAGCTACGCGCATTAGAAGAAGAAGATATAAAGGTGAGAGCATCCTGACCGTCCGAGCAATCGGATCCAGCGGCTGCGATGGGCTATTTGACCGAGTCGTCTCTCGCTGCGCGCGCGTGCGCCATATATTAAAAAATTATTTAGACCCAAGTCTGAGGGCACCTTCAACCCACGGATAGGATCTGTCTTGAAATTCAAGACATACTACACAGCTTCCCAATAGATATGAGCTGTTTTTTTAACGGTCTACGAGTGGTTAATCAATTATGAATATCATTCATATATACCACTGTGTTGCTAATTGATAAAAATAGATCAAACATAAATACCTTAAAAATATGATTGCAAATTTGTGTTGCTGTTCAAACATAAACACAAACGACGAGATCACGGGAGCCTCTCTCTCTCAAATCAGCAAAGCACATGGACAAGCTTCTCCCTTTCTTTAAGTAGCATGTGAAAGTAGTACTTTTCAGCGAACGATCCTTCGCAACGAATCAGCGTAAGCATCTTCAGCTAACGAACAGGGCCTGTGGAGCGGGACGGACCAACGGCGGTGGCTCGTGTGCAGCGCGGCGCCCCGCGAGTGGCCGTCCGGCTGCAGTTCCCGCCAGTGGCGGATCCAGTGGGTGGTCTGGGTGGTCCACCGACCACCCTGTGGCCCGCCCGTTAGTCAAACATAATAGAAAAAATGAAAAAAAACAAGCCGTCCTGTTCATAGTACGTGAGTGCGGCGTCCGTTCGACGTTCGTAGTACGTGAGTGCGGCGTAAATGCGCACTCGTGCTCGATGGGCCGGTCCAGCTCGCAGGGGGAGTTGGATCAGCAGACGTCGAACTGTCCAGGGAGGCCGGGACTCGGGAGGGAGTCGGATCGCCAGACTCCGCTCGCGGCCGCGGAGCGTTCTCGCCGCGAGCCTGTCGCGGACGCCGCCATCGCCCTTCGGCCTTCGCGGATCGACATTGCGGCACCAGGTAGCCGATCGGTGATCAGGTGACAGGTGACCCTCGTTCCTCCCCGTCCATCTCCAGTTCTCCAGTCTCCACCCTTCCTCAGTTCCAGGCGTCCGTTCATTAGTTTTGCAATTGATTATCACATTGACAAGTGGAGTGAGGAGGAGCTTCGTCTTTACAAGAAAAGATTGACATATTCACTTAGATGTATCAAGTTTCTTTTGCATCAAGGATTGGCATTCCGTGGACATGATGAAAGTGAAGAGTCTAGCAATAGAGGCAACTTCATTGAACTTTTGAAGTTTCTTGCAGGAAATAGTGAAGAAGTGAACAAGTATGTCTTGAACAATGCACCAGGTAATTGCACTTTGACTAGCCCAAACATACAAAAGGAAATTATTCATTGTTGTGCCATAGAAACTAGAAAGAAAATAATTGGGGAACTTGGTGATGAGCCCTATGCAATTCTAGCTGATGAGTCTAGTGATATATCACATAAAGAACAACTAGCTCTTTGCTTGCGTTATGTTGATAAACTTGGAAGGCCATGTGAGCACTTCATTGGAGCTGTTCATGTAGATGATACTACCTCTTTGTCACTTAAGAAAGCAATTGAAGGTTTACTTGTTATTAATGGATTGAGTCTGTAGCAGATTAGAGGCCAAGGTTATGATGGGGCTAGCAATATGAAAGGAGAAATTAAAGGGCTCAAAACTTTAATCATGCAAGAATCACCTTCTGCTTATTATATTCATTGCTTTACACATCAACTCCAACTAGTTCTTGTCGCTGTTGCCAAGGGAAATACTGACTGTAAGACTTTTTTTATCAAGTATCTATCTTGTTGAACATTGTTGGGGTTTCTTGCAAGCGTCACGATATGCTTCGAAATGCAATGCTTGAGAATGTTAAGAAAGCACTAGAGTGTGGTGAGCTTGAAACAGGGAGGGGATTAAATCAAGAGATGGGTTTGTCTAGGCCTGGTGACACTCGGTGGGGCTCTCATTACAAAACTATATGTAGCATCATCACTATATATTCCTCAATCCATGATGTGCTCATTGAACTTGGTGCTGATATTGCATATAAGGAAGATTGGACAAAGATACATTTTGTGCTTGGAGCATTTGAAACATTTGAGTTTGTTTTCTTTGTGCACTTAATGTATGTTATTCTTGGATACACAAATGAGTTATCCGAGTGCTTGCAGAGAAGGGATCAAGATATTCTTAATGCAATCTCACTTGTTAATGTGGCAAAGAGCAGAATGCAGGAGTTGAGGTCTGATGGTTGGGATAATTTTCTTCAGAAGGTCACTTCTTTTTGTATTAAACATGGTGTTGAAGTTCCTGCTATAGATGGTGCTTATGTGCCTTATGGAAAATCAGCGCGGTATGCCTGTGCCCGAAACCAAACAAATGATGACCATTTCAGAAGAGAAGTATACATTGGTGTCATTGATCAAATTAGTCAAGAGCTTGATAATCGGTTTGATGAGATCAATATGGAGCTACTCTCTTGTATGGAAGACTTCAGTCCTTCCAACTCATTTGCTTCTTTTGATGCACGGAAGGTACGTAGATTGGCTGAATTTTATCCTAAGGACTTCTCCAACAATGATTTGTTAAAACTTGAATTGCAACTTGATAATTATATTGATGACATGCGACAAGATGCTAGCTTCCAAGGTCTAGACAACATTGTTGATCTCTTAGTTAAGCTTGTTGAAACAAAGAGGCACAAAGTGTATGATATGGTGTACTTGCTTCTCAAATTGATATTGCTTTTACCGGTGGCAACTACGAGTGTTGAAAGGGTATTTTCTGTATTAGTTGTAGTGAAAACAAAGATAAGGAATATGATATGTGATATTGTTTTGGATGATTGTCTAGTCACATTTATTGAGTGGGATATTTTCTTCCAAGTTGATGAAGATGATATAATTGAGACATTCATGTCATTGAGAAAGCGGCGGATAAACAAGTAATATTGTAAGTCTCTCCTGTTGCTATATTTGGAAGTATTTGTATTTTATTTGAACAATTTATATCAAGATTTGGCGTCGGTCGTAGCTTAATATTTGAGTTTAAATCTTATTATGTTATTTAATGTAACCAGTTTTAATAAATTATAATATGATTTTACCGAATTGTAAATGGTTTACCAAAAATGTATTAGGAAATTTTTTACGGCGCATATCCATAGGTAAAATCCTGGTCCGCCACCGGCTCCGCAGGACCCCCGGCGGCGGCTCCGCAGGACCTTGGCAGCTCGCGAGCGGCGGCTCATGCCGGGCGACCCGGCGGCAGCTTGCCCAGTGCTCTCCTTGACTACTCGCGTGCGGCAGCTCCCGCAGGGCGCTCGACGGCCCGCGTGCGGTAGCCCGCTTGCAGCTCACGCAGGGCGGCCGGCGTCGCCCCGGCCCTGCTCCCGTGCGGCGTGCGGCGTTCCCGCTAGCGACGGCCGCGTGCTCCGCCTCCCTCCTCCTCCTCCCCCTACCGACGCTGCATCATCCGCCCCGCCCGCTGCCGAGACCGCGAGATGGATTTTGGTTCGCAACAAGCAATATCGCCCCAGCCACATCTGGATCTCGCGCCCTTGCGTGGAGACGATGCAAGCCGTACAGCGCTGCCTTTCTTCGGCGTCTCAACCTGGGAGGACGAGCCTCCCTCGTCGTCTCACAAAACGCCGACTCTGCTCTCTCTCTTCATTGAATGGTGTTGGCGAGGGTGTTTTTTTTTTGCTAAAATACCGGTATACACACGGCTGTTCACCACGCGTTTTACCCACTACTGTTGCTACTAAGGCCTTCCCTCTGATAATCAAATTATAATCAAACATAATTGGTTATATGATTGATTATTATAATTAAAATCTCTCGTTATCATAATCCCGTAATCTAGATGAGACATGGTTTTAGGGACTATTGGTGCTAAAAATGCAACTTGTGCTGCTCCGGGTCATGTCCTTCAGACACAGAGACAGGTTGGGCCATGTCGAAATGGCATGGTAAGTCTTTGCTTCGGTTCAAGCACAACCCCAAACACATCTTTGCTAGTTTAATATATTTTGTATGTACTATTTTTATGAAAGTTTCAATGATTTTCATAATCCATTCCAGAATTAAGAAGAGATAGTATAGTAAGGGCATGTTTGAAAAGCAGGAATAAAACAGAAAAACAGAGTAAAATCCTTGCGTTCCGCACTAAATACTACTCCCTCTGTCTTAGTATATAAGGTGTAATCACTTTTTATTCGTATCCCATAATATAAGGTATGTTCTCTCTAGACATACGTACATCGATGCAACAGGACAAGTGTTGACAGAGAGAATTAAATACGTTCCTTGGTCTTTGAACCAGAGGTGGTTACACCTTATATCTAGGACAGAGGTAGAAAATTACGCCTTATAAATACTTTATAACAAGCATACACCTAAATTAATCTATAACTAAGTTATACATGATCTAATGAGTATGAAAATTTTACTACAGTTCAATCTTACAATTATTAGTCCACCATAAAAATTTCACCACAATTGAACCATAAAAACTGCAGCTATAAATTAATTATAGAAAATCATATATCTAAAGCTACATAAAAAAATTGTACTAAGCATAGCATATTATATGTTTACTGTGTAGATCTACTCATGTAGAGTCCAACAAAATTGGATTTTCTATTTTATGATTTTTCTATGATTTACTATGATTTTTCAAAGATTGATCCAAAATAAATAAAAAAGAAAAAGATAAAACCGCCTTTGAAAATCGCTTATAACCGGTCAAGGAGGTAAAACAAATGGTTTTAAAAGTTCAGTAAGGTGGTTTACCCGGTTTTAGAGTTCTGGAAGGAAAACCAGACTTTTGTAAAAGTTGAGGGAGGTAATGTGGACTTTTTCTTTTAAAATCTTCTCTTTTCGTCTTTTCCTTTTTCCTATTCGTTCTAGATTTTGTAGAATGACCACTCTCAACATCCATGTTACTATGATGACAACGATGACGATGTCATATCTTGAATCCTTCTTTGCTTGTGGGAGCACGTTGCATTTGCGAATGGAGGAGGGAACCTTAGCTAGAGGTACTTCAAAATAGCAATTAAGATCAAAAGTATTTTTTCTTACAAAATTTTATTGAAAGACTTACTCCCTCCATCTTAGAACGATAACCATATTTCATATAAGGAAAATTTAAACTTTATAAACTTTGATCAATAATTATTCAAATTATATGATTACAAAAGTATTTAAATTATATATAAGTTTAGGATATAAAACTTGCATCAATAGATTTCTATTCAAAGTGCCTATAAGATGGTATTGATTTCTATTCAAAACTTGCATCAATAGATCAATATATTTTTGTTTGACTTTTCCCTAATCTAAATACGGCTATTATTTCAAGATAGAAGGAGTATTGTTAAACTTCTTTAAAAAGTTAATTATAAACCTTATAAAATTGTTTATTTTTTTTCCTAAAAATCTATTTTTCTATTATTTTTTCTAATTTTTTTTACTCAAGACCACCTTTTGAAAGTTCACTGGAGCATGGTTTTTCATACATCAATGTTTGTAGACTATGACTCCTGATAAGTATGTATATACATTATGTACTTGTACACCTTAAAAATCACTCCTGTACCATGTGAAAATATGTACTCCTCAATTACAAATTATAAGTCATTCCAAGAATCTTGGAGAGTCAAAACATCTCAAGTTTGACCAAAATTATAGAGAAAATTACAAAGATTTAACTATAAAAATATAATTAATGAAAAATCTAATGATACTTAGTTGTTATCATAAATATTATTATCTTATCATATAAATTTGGTTAAATTTGAGATGGTTTAACTCTCTAAGATTCTTGCCATGACTTATAATTTAGAACGGATAGAGTATATCCTTAATTTTTTTGAGTAAATAAATCTCTGCAAGATTTTTTTTTGAGATCATAAATCTCGGCCTGGCCTTGCAGGAGTCTCTGCAAACATTTTATAATGACCCGCAAGCCGCAAGGGCGGCAAGGCCGCAAAGAAAGCCCGTGCCCAGCACACTGAAGACCATGTGTCCATGTCGCAGAAACACGCAACTACCCTCATCAAATCCTTGTGCGCGCGCGGCGCGGTCCGCCACGCCCGCGCCTTGTTCGACGAAATGCCCGACCATGCTCTCCGGCTACGCATCCAGCGCCCGCCACCGTGAGGCGCTAGACTTATTCTGGTCCATGGCCGCGGCCGGCGTCATCCCCAACGAGTTCACGCTGTCCAGCGTCCTGACCGCGTGCCGTGCCGGCGGTGGCGGCGGCGCAGCGTCGATCCATGCCCTCGCTTTGCGGCGGGGCGTGGACCACACGCCGTATGTTGTGAACGCGCTCATCAACGCGTACGCGTCCCGCGGAGGCGGGGACGGCCTCGTGGACGCGAGGTGGCTGTTCGATGCGCTCGGGGAAGGACGCACGGCCGCGTCGTGGACGTCCATGATAGCCGGTTATGCTCGTTGGGGACAAGAGAACACGGGGCTACAGTTGTTCCAAAATATGATTCAGGTTTTACTTATCTCTTCACCTTGTCATGTATAAATTCGACATCTCTATTGCTCTTCTTTGAACGAATGTTCTCTTACAGGAAATATCTCACAATGTTTTTTTTTAAAGAATTGTATCATGTATATAGTGCTCAAACAAAACTTATAGCCTTTTTTTTTTGTTTTATGATTAAGGACATAGCATAGGAACCGTCTATACTTTGTGAACTTCAGCGAAAAGGCAGGATCCTTATGATTTGAACAATGCTAGTTGTCAATATTGGATTAATTCTTCTATGATGCTAAATATTCTTAGTACAAGTAGCATATGCTGATTATTGAAGTATTCAACTATCAAAGTATTAACATGTTCCTCTATAGTGACGGCATTATTGTGGCCTTAGGTAGATGATTAATGTATCAGGAAATGTCGTCTTGTCAGACTTGCTTGTGGAATTCTTGTTGTAGCTTACATGTATAGTGTCTTGAGAAAACCTTATTTGTTTTCATGATCCAGTAGCTGTTGTTTCTCCAGTGCAGGATGATGTTGAGCTGAGTCCGTTCACCTGCTCTATTGCAATCCACGCATGTGCTTTAGTAGGTAACTTATATTTTGGACAGCAAATTCATGTACTCTCCATAAGGAAAGCTCTTGGAGCGAACCTTGCTGTTGCAAATTCTCTGGTTGACATGTACTGCACTTGTGCAAGCATACTGGATGCAAGGAGGCTTTTTGATGAAATGCCTGAAAGAAACTTGGTCACCTGGAATACCATTATTGCTGGATATAGCCGACGTGATCCTCTAATGGCCATGCAGCTTCTTGTCAACATGGATATCGAACTAAATTGCTTGACTCTAACGAGCATTACATCAGCATGTGCTGGTCTCTCAGCTCTGAGATGTGGCCGGTCCATGGGGCTTTACTCCGGAGAAACTATGGTGATGACCTAAAAGTTTCCAATGCCCTTGTGGACATGTACTCCAAGTGTGGAAAGATTTTGAATGCTAAGAAGGTATTCAACATGATGACTTGCAAGGACATATTATCGTGGACATCAATGATTGTGGGTATGGGATGAATGGTTATGTGAATGAGGCCATCAAGCTGTTTGATTCCATGGTCCATGCTGGGGTTTATCCGGACTATGTGGTGTTCTTGGGCCTGATCAGTGCTTGCAGCCATGCTGGTTTAGTAGACGAAGGATGGAACCTTTTCAGGTCAATGTTATTTGAGTATAATATTCAGCCTAACAAGGAGATTTATGGTTGTCATCAATCTTCTTGCCCATGCAGGGAGGCTGAGAGAAGCCTTTATCCTCATTGATACAATACTCACTCCTGATGAATCTATCTGGGGAGCATTGCTTGGTGCTTGCAAGATGCACAGGAATCTAGAGCTGGGCAGACTAGCTGCAGGGAAAATAATTGAGATTAACCCTGATGCGGTGAAGACTTACATCCTGCTTGCAAACATATGTGCTGCAGATAGCAAGTGGGGTGAGTATGCTGTGACAAGGATGTTGTTGAGGGGCACAGGAAGCAGTAAGGAAGTAGGAATGAGTTGGATAGAGTTAACAGATAAGATGTATAGCTTTAGCACAGCTGACAGTAGCAGTCCTCAAGTTAGTTTGGCAGATGAGGTATTGCAGATCTTAGTCCACCACATGGATGAAGCTGGAAGTGATTTTATTGACAATATTTGTAGAGGTGCATGATTCTTTTGTTCTTAAATGGTTCATCCATTTTTTAGCCAAATGTTGCAGAAATCGATTCTGGATGTTGACGCTCTGATAGCACTCAATTTCTGGAGGTTTGAGTTCGGATAAAACCTATCCAGAACCAAACAAACTACTTATGCAACATAAATAAATTTTGACTGAGGTAAGACCTACTTAAAGAAATAGTAGTTCGGCCATATTATTTTCTTTTGTATACCTTCTCTTTTACTTTCATCATTTCATGGTCATCTCACTTACATTTTTGGCGAAAGGTAATGTGACTCATGTGTTTCCGTTTACTCCTGTTATACAATTGCAGTATCAATTTTGAATGGTAGAACGATTCATGACATTCTTTAACTGGTGACAGACCATCATATGATTCCTAAGAATGAGAAACACGGGCCTAGAACTGAATTCATCTTTCAGCAAATTCATTCTGGTAGTTCTGACATGGCGATAAATTGGTTTTGTTCAATACTATTTCATTTGGACTTCTTAAATCCCAGGCGTGTCACTTTGTTACCTGCCAGCTGAAAATATTGACTTATTTATTGTTAAAGGTGTTTTTCTTTCTCGAAACCATTAAGTTGCCCTATGCAGTGGTAAAGGTTGGGCATCTGTGTCTCCAAAAGTTTTAATGGTTGTCTATGTTAATATCTACAGACATATATAGTCTTCTCTCTTCTGTTTCTCTCGGTTCTGGCCCATGTAGGCCTTAGCCCTTTTGGCCCATACTCAGCATACTTGTAACCTAGACCCAGTGGAACTGTGTGTGAGGTCATTCTTCCCTAACAATCTATAGTTTTGTACTCAACAGATATGCAAAGCTGGCCATCTTTTTATGGAAGGGACTAACTTAAGATCCAAAGTCAACAGCAGAGCTTCTCATGGAGCTTAAGTTGTCCGTTTGTAGGGAGATTATTTGGCTATTGTACATTTGAGAGGAATTGTAACTATAGAATTGTAGTTCCATGATGGCATCAATGTCATATGTGGTGATGAGTGGATGGTAGACATGATAGCAAAAGGTTTGTATTTTCCTAAACAGTTGAGATTTTACTCATATTTGGTCGGTGCCCAGGCTACAGATTTAGGGTCTTCCATTCTGAACTCTGAAGTAACCATAAGTAAATTTTCAAGAGCGGTGTGTTTGTATTTGTATCCTGTGCTTTCAGCTTACTCCTATGTTTCTTTGTTGATCTGGTAGTGTTTTTTTGGGTGATTGTTAAATGCTAATGCTGATGTGCAGTTTACTAGCTCTGTAAGGTATTAACTATCTGAAAATTCTGCAGGCTGAAGAAAGAAGTATGATACTCCCTCCATTCCAAATTATAAGACAGTTTGGCTTTTCTAGGTACATTGTTTTTGCTATGTATTTAGACATACACTATATCTAAGTGCATAGCAAAAAATATGATCTAGAAAAGCCAAAACGTCTTACAATTTGGAATAGAGGGAGTACGTTTTTAAGTAAACTGAATCACAGGTTTCTGAAATCTGAAAAGATTATATTCGTGGCCTTCTAGGCTTTGAAGTTTGAAACTATTTTGAACCCAAAACTGAATCTTTGGACATGTAGTTGGCAGGTTTTAAACAAAAGAGAATTACTAAAACTGAGCAAGGACCAGGAACCTACAGTGAGATTTGCTCTTGTCTTTTGTACCATGACTTGGGGCTGATATCCTAGAAGACCAGCTTTACTCAATGCTGTTATATTTCTGTAATTATATTCAATGCAGCACTATCAAGTAGTCAAAATTTGTCTTCCTGATGTTCATATTAATGCCAACCCTTCTTGCTGATTTTACTGGGTTTTGTCTGATTCTTTTATAGTTAAGTTTTTCTGATATAGTGCTGGCATTATTATCGACTATGGTTTGCGTATCCCTCGAATGTTAAGATACTTTCATGTAATTTGATTTCGTATACTCATTGATTTGAGTTTTCTCATGACCTAGAGAATTGTGGTTTTAGATGAATACATGAGATCCAAGATACTAACTTGCAATCTTTATTAGTTATTACTAGTATGTTCTACTTGTTCGCATAGAAGATTGGTTTTATTTAATTTGAGTTCTGGTTTGCAGTCTATTACCAGCGATTGTCTTGGTAATCAAAGAAGTGGCTGCTATATGGAATGTGTTGGCACTCCATTGCTTTGCATCCTCAAATGACCAGTTATTCTGTAAGCATATGGAAGTAATGTTGGCCTTGGTGCAATGCTCTTGTTGGTACCAGAATGCACTTAATCTGCATTTCTAATTTAGGCGCACCGGACACACATAGAGCCATAGAGGCAGCAGTACTGATGCAAGAATGATGCCATACATTATACTAAGACTAGCATTTTTTTTTGCATATATATATATATATATATATATATATATATATATATATATATATAAGTTTCTTATTTATCTAAAGGATAACTAAGCTATGGCACTCCAGATACATATCATGAGATCAACTGACATTATGCTCATGTAAAGAACTTAAAGTACCTATAATTTTCAATGCTATACAAGACAATCAGACCTGCTGACTCATATATAGAGTTTCTAAACAACCGACCAAAAATCCAAAACACAGCAGATAGAAAGATTAATTATTTCCATCAAGTAGTGCCTGTACCGTGATATATTCTCATCTAACAATATTGACATATGTTACTGCTTTGCATCCACAACCCCTTCATTTCCTGCTAGAATCACGTATTTGTCCTTGCGAGTAAGTTTAGTGGGTTCAAACCCAAGAGCCCTACCAATCTCGCCCTGCACCTTGTTTGCCACCTCATAGCTCTCGCATCTCCTGCCGTTGATCACCACATGGGTTGGCATCCTTTCCATGAACTGGACAACGTACGCTGGATGCGGGTTCATGAAGTAGTAGAAGTGGTCTAGGTACTTGGACCTGCCGGTAGACGTGCCGTAGAACATATTGGACCAGTTCATCAGTGCCACTGGGTATACCTCATCGACGAGCTCTACAAATAGCGGGCTGAACCGGAGCAGGTATGGCTCCCTGCATGTGGTACCCTCAGGGCAAATCACTAGGTCCCCCTTCTGCAGCGAGTGTTCCATTCTCCTGCTATCCTCATCGCGGTTTCGAGTCAGTCGGATGGTCCGGATGGGTGACAGGAGCTCACTGATACGGCTGACACTGTATGTCATTGCTGACACCTTCTTGTTCAGCATCACTGAGATGTAAACTGGGTCGAGGAGTGTGCGATGGTTGCATACGTATAGGTGACCCCGTGGATTGGGCTGGGCAAGAGCTCCATGGTTCGTGTTGCCATTGCCAGAGATTGGGGAGTTGATGACCCGGGTTGTGACTCCGGTCGCACTCCCAATTGGGAGGGAGATAGAGTATGGAAGGTTCACAAAGACGAGTGTTCGGAGCACGGTGAGGGGGACAGCAAGCGGGAGCCACATCAACATGGCTAGGATGGCTTGAGGGGTAGGCCTGAAAGCTAGCCTGCCATCATGGAAGATCAGGGGCCTCGGGTACTGGTCTCTTGGCAAGGCCGACCATTGTTTCTTTTGTTCTGGGGTCACCAAGTAAACCTCCTGCAAATGAGAATTAACTTTAGATTAGCATTCATGATCCCAAAAGCATATATCCTGACTTTTAGATGTCTGTAAATAGTTCGAGACTAAAGTCTAATGAAACTTGGCTTCAAAAAACCAAAGAACTTCCTATTTGTAAAGTTAATTCTGGAGATCAGACTTCTTACTACTACAAAGATTTGAACATAATCTGTAGACATTGGAATCAGGTAAGATATCACGTAACTATAAGAGGGCATAGTTCTGTGCATTTATAGTAGGAAAACTATTTTGATTTTACAGCACCTTTGAGCATGGTTACTCAATATTGTTTCTGCAAAAAAGATGCAGCCGTTAAACACTTCGATCATTTTATTTACTGTGAATTTTCTCACTGGATCATATATTGATCAGTGACAGTGAGTATTCAATGGCATGAAGCATATTGCTAATGAAAAAGGGCAACCTAAAGTTAATTGCACCTTGTATGTTTGGGTCTAATCAAGTAGTTTGGGTAAACTAATTAATCAAACAAATCATTTGTGCCGTTTCCCTTTTCTTTTTAGTTTTTTATGTCTTGGTGACCTTGAGCTTGCAGGAGGAAAAACTGCTTATGCCAAGTGTCATCAGATGAATTGTCCTTCCCATGAAGGCCAACTAATTGCAAAACTAATGAACACACGAGTGCACCACAGTATTGTCTACTAGTCATTTACGATCAGACACGGACATCTGCATAGATGTCACCACTTTGCACTATCACAATGTCTCGTATCTAATGATCAGATATATACATCATCCATGCATGCATACTACTTGTTAATAAGAATTTTTATTTTTTTTGGAATTGATGATGTTTGCTTTCAACAACAACCAGTGGTTAAAAAATGCATATCTAACTCGTGCAAGTAAGATGTCACGTAAATGGTGGGGGAAGTTTATCTGCACTGAATTAAGAAAGGTAAGCACCACAATCCTGCATATGTCATGTGTGGTCCTTCTGCATATGTTCACAAGTGATGCTTAAAATTGTTATATAGTACTAACACTCAAGGAGCGTGGCTTTGAGCCCGTAAAATGTGAACTACATTTGGCTAAGTGATATTATTCTAGTGCATGGCATAACTGATTGTCATAGTGTGGGCTTTTTTTTTATGTGATTGTCTTAGTGTGGTTAGGTTTCCAATTCCATCTATGTTTGCAAATAATGTTATTATTTGATGATAAGGTGTATAAATGCATCTCAAGGATAATGTGTACGAGCATACGTATTAATAAGAGTTAGCTAGATTAGCTATATGATGCTACGCTTGATGACATGATGATAAGTCTACACAATTTGTACTTCTTTCCTTTTGTGGATCTTTGTCTTCTGCATCCCTTCTTCATAGTTACTATGATCATAGTTTAAAAGGCGGTTAGGCGTCCAGGCGAGTGCTTGGTACGCCT